AGCCCTGGAGAATAATAGTTTACATTGTTCATTTCATAATGGGTGATTACATATTTGTAATGTGTGCATTCTTGTGTTTGTTATTAAATGCAACAACTCATTTACTCAGTTTAATTGTTTTTGTTTTATGTATTGTTTTAAAATTAGTTCTGAAATTCTAGTGCAGCTGAGCTTCTGAAATACCTCTATAGTCCTGAGAGTGCGTTGGAAGATGGTGGGTTTTCCTAATGTGACACTGGAAGAAGATAAGAATATTTTCAGCGCTGAATTAATACTAAAATTCCCAAATGTATTCCAGTTTAGAGGGTTTTCTCTTTCTATTAATATGGCTATTCTTATTGCTGAACTCTGAGGAACTGGAAGCAAATAAGGAATGGGGAAAGATAGAATATATGAAAAGTATATGAATAACTATTAATCCCAAAAATGTTTTGAGCTCAAACACCATTGTATTCATTCGTATGAATATAGGTCCAGTTACCAAACTGATTGATTGAGTAGTCAGTTCTGCTTGTCCATGTTCAAAGCATAGGTCATTGCAGCTACTTCTATTTGTCGCGGTGGTTACGTTTTATACAGTAAACGTATGCAAGGACAGTGGTGACTTGAAGGAATGACTGCTGTTTCCTCTGCTGCAGTTTGAGATATACAAGTTTCTGATGTGGGGTGAGTTGGACAGGCCATCAAATGTGTGATTGTCACACCAGGTGCCTGACTTTTAGCAATTCTGCTCTGCAGTTCAGCATTGAGGTTTTCACTTCCAAAGCCCTCTGCTTTCCCCTTTGCTGCCTAAGAACTTCCTTGTGCAGATCCACAATTCTTTTATAGCATCACACTCTTCACATGTTGGATATGGCACTTGGAAATAAAGGGCGACTGGGGAAAAGGAAAAGTTTCCTGCAAACCGTTCAAAATGTTCCAACAAGAACAACCCGAATTGGGTAGCATCTGTGTCAGCACAAATAAAATTTGGTGCAGATTCGTAGTAGCTAAGATTAGTATGATTTTTGGAATGAAGTCACGCATATGTACAAAGGCAAATAGTGTTGGGTATTTCTGTTGACTGGATGTTTTTTTGGAGGGGGAGGGGAGCCGTAATCATTATGGGAATTAGTGTTGACCTGAGATATGAGGCAAACACAGTCATCTGATGAAGCAAATGAGGATTTGTGAAAATGCGCTGTAATGTGATAAAAAGGTAGTTAACTTGAATATTCCATAGGATTTAAAAGCCTATGCACAATCTATCAAGAAGCTTTCCTGTGCAAGGCGAATAAATAAGGGGAAACAGACCCCTATGCAGTTTGTTTTTCAGGATGCGAACGCACATATGCATATCAGATGCAGATGGGGACCAGAAGCTCTATGCTGTCATTCTTTTCCAAGTATTTAGTCATTATGTGGAAGGGCAGCAAGATCATGGCTGTCCCCGACTTCTTCCTCCACAGGATTTCCTGTCATAAATATAGGGCTTACAGTCGCACAGCCTTTTCTCACCTTTGTCCTAATGTGTGTTTAGAAGTTGGTGGCAAGTCCAGCCATGATTCCATAGCATTTTGAATACCTATCAGCCTTTGAAAGCTCCAGACATTTTGACCAAATTTGTGGAGAACATCTTTAACTAGGTTAGAAATGTGTTTGCATTGAGATGCACATCTGGCTACAAAGGAAGGAAAGTAACATGTGGCTTTCCAGATGTTCCTAGACAACAGCTGCCACCATACCTGACCATTGGTCATGCTGGAATGGGCGGATGAGAATTAAGAGTCCAAGAACATATGGAGGGTCATAAAGCACCCAATTCAAGCCTTGTTAGCACTGCATTCACTTCCGTCTTGTGTTACAGGATAAACAATTACTCTTTATCAGGTTAGAAACCACTGTTTCTGGCTTGGAGTCAGTAACACTGAAAATGCAAAGTTATGTGGAAATAATTCAGCATCTTGATATAATAATCACAAATAGATTTTTAAACTCGAGGTCTCTGGGTGACAATTTGGGGAACAAATGTTGTTTACAAATAAAAAACAGCTGTAGAAAGTTCTTAAAACCAGCCGATGCATATTTTATTGAGTTGTTTTATTTTCAAACAAGCAACAAAATCATTTTACAGACTGTCCAACATTAGTTGTACTCAAAGTAGACCCATTGCAGTGAATGAACCTTACTAACTTAGGTACATTAATTTCAGTGGGTCTGCTCCAAGAAGGAAATGATTGAATGCAACCCTATACATGTGTCCAGAATGACTCATTTGATATTTAAAGCAGCCTTTCTTTATTTCTGTTCACAACAGACACTCTTGTTCTGTGTAATAACCTTAGTTCCACCACATCATCTCAGTTGTTGAGAGTGCAGTTTCTGAGTGTGCAGGTGTAGACAGCTGCCAGAAACTCCTGCCTTTTAAAGTTTAGACAACGCAGCTCTCAAGAGCCAGAAGATGTTTGTTGTTTGTTAAACTAAAGGAAGCATCGAGGACAGTTTTCATCTGTCCCTGTGACAGTCAGTTTGAGTGCATAAGCGGAAAGGCTTCCCGTGTTCTCTCTTGAAAGAGAAGAACAATGTAAACAGGTAATGCTAGATCTTGAAAATGTGTTTGTAGAACAGTAGAAGCACTTGAAAATGTGTTTTGCAGATCATTTACCCTATCTTTTGTTTTCTAAGTATTGAACTATGTCTCAATCAGTAGTACTATTTCTTGTGACTGTGCTGTATTTTGGAATGTATGTGTTAAAAAATATGTAAGAGGGCATGTTGCTTTTGAGGAGGTATCCAGTAAATGGGCATCTACTCAATCTTCAACCCTGGGTGGTATCTAAAGGACATTCAAATCAATACTTCTCCAAAACAAGGGCATGTCATGGATGCCTATGTAGTTGGTTCTTCTCACAAGTACCATTTTTAGAAAGAAGGCAGGCCGTGACCTAGCTAAAGTTAAGCACCTCTTTGTACCCTAGATTTCAGAGGCAGAGACTCTGTTCACATTTAATGTCAGTGTTTGAAAAAGAAAAGGTTCTGACTTCCTTTGTCTCCTCAGCCTGGTCCTCGGACCCTTGTCGACATAAAAGAGTCCACGAGAAGAGTGTCCTTGCAGAGTACTTTCTGCTTTTATTCTTAAAAGTCTTCATCTGCAAAACGACCGACCAACTGTACACACATCAACACTACCAGCTTTCACTAACCAACCAACCCACCACCACACCAACATTGACCTCTCTATATAAAGATAAAGGGACCCCTGACCATTAGGTCCAGTCGTGGCTGACTCTGGGGTTGCGGCGCTCATCTCGCTTTATTGGCCGAGGGAGCCGGCGTACAGCTTCCGGGTCATGTGGCCAGCATGACTAAGCCACTTCTGGTGAACCAGAGCAGCGCACAGAAATGCCATTTACCTTCCCACCGGAGCGGTACCTATTTATCTACTTGCACTTTGACGTGCTTTGGAACTGTTAGGTTGGCAGGAGCAGGGACCGAGCAACGGGAGCTCATCCCATCGCGGGGATTCGAACCGCCGACCTTCTGATCGGCAAGTCCTAGGCTCTGTGGTTTAACCCACAGGGCCACCCGCGTCCCTCAGACCACTCTATATATACAGGTACAATTAGGTGAAAGGTTGCATGAGTCATTGTAGGCTGCTGACTCATGCTGACTTAGTTCTTTGAGCATTAAAGAAACAGTGGCCAATTTTTAGCCGTGACATTTAATGTAAGTAGTTAAGACAGGACGTGGGTGGCGCTGTGGTTTAAACCACAGATCCTAGGGCTTTTCGATCAGAAGGTCGGTGGTTCGAATGCTCTGGCGGGAATGTATACGGTGTTTCCGTGTGCTGCTCTAGTTCGCCAGAAGCAGCTTAGTCATGCTGGCCACATGACCTGGAAACGTCGGCTCACTCGGCCTATAGAGCAAGATGAGCACACAACCCCAGAGTCGTTCGCAATTGGAACTAATGGTCAGGGGTACATTTACCTTTTACTTGAGTGAGACAGTCTGAACACTCACTTTTCCTCTCATTCCCTTATCCACATATGTGCTTTGAGTCTCTCCCTGACTTACTATGGAGTGCAAGCCATAGTTTTCTGTTAGGAAAAAGTGGTTTGCCCTTTTAGCCACAACTGGAAACCACAAATCAAAATGTGTTTTCCAGTTCTGGGTTGGTGACCATAATTTGCCTGTTCAGGAGTAAAGACAGTGGTTTCTGCTAAACAGGAAGCTAGGCTGAAAGCAATGCAGAAGCGCAAACAGTGGTTTGGCGTTATATATGAATAGAGACAAAATTTAGCTTGTGCTTAATACTCATTGAAACAAATAGGTCTTCAAAATGCATAACTTAAAGTGGTTGGGTTTTGCCAAAACATATTAATACATATTTCACACTTCATTTAATTCTGCCTATGAATGCCTAGTTTGATTCCCTATTGCTTTTGTTTCCTTATTATATTTTGTTATAAATTAGACACTTTTTTTAAAAAAAAAAGAAAACCCTTTTCCTCAATGACTCATAATTCAGCGGATTACTATTACATACTCCTCTTCCTAACACAAGAAGAGAGAAATCAAATGTGACCATTGTCTTCCTCCCTTACAGTGGTGCTGGGTTTTTTTGCTTTTGCTTTTTACAGCTTTTTTTTTTTCATATGATTGTGCTTTTCCTCAGTACTTAATCCCAATGACAGCTGCTGGGCCTCTCTGCGGGTTGTTTTCTAGCAGCACAAGACAAAACATTTTTTACAGAGACGCTTATTTCTTTGCACCTTAAAAAAAAATTGATACAGGAGGCACATACACTGTGTGACAGCTTGCTCAGCCACATAGCACTGAAAATAAAAGTGGGGAAGTTTGTTCTGTAGAAAATTGAGCAACACAAAGAGACTCTGCACAATCAGGATCTGATACCTATTGTGACAGTGAATCGTTTTATTTTACTGTGCAGCATTCACTTTAACCTCCAATTTTAGTGAGATTCAGGGCATTGGAACTCTAATTTCAGCTCTACAGAACCTGCTTAGTGCCTTCTTCAGTCAGTAGAACATGAGACTCATAATCTCAAGGCTGTGGGTTCAGGCCCACATTGGGCAAAAGATTCCTGCATTGCAGGGGATTGGACTAGATCAGGCATCCCCAACCTGTGACCCTCCAGATGTTTTGGCCTACAACTCCCATAATCCCTAGCTAACAGGACCAGTGGTCAGGGATGATGGGAATTGTAGTCCAAAACATCTGGAGGGCCGAAGGTTGGGGATGCCTGGACTAGATGATCCTTGTGGTCCCTTCCAATTCTACAATTCTGTTATTTTTCCTCTCTTTCCTCCCCCAACCAGCCATCCTATTAGCCTCCCAAAACAGCAGGTTTCTGTCTTAACCATTTATTGTCCAAGTCTCAGATTGTACTTTCTGATGCTTATCCCGTTGCACTGGTTTCAAACAAAATGGGACAGTGAATTGCAGCAGTCCTTAGGGGGTCTCATGATACGAGGCAGCTGCTAAGCTCTGTTGAATATGGGCTGGATCAGGACAGTATTCAAAGCAGTACCCTCCATACATTGTGGACTACAATTCCCATTGACCTTGGCCAGCATGGACACTGGGCATGGAAGCTGTAGTTTTTAACAACTGGCACATCCGGCATGTTTCTCATTGGCTACATCCTTCATACTCCCAGCCACAAAGTAGGTGGCAAAATGAAACCTTTTTAAAGAAGAAATGACATATTAACACAGACACTGACAAATGCTCAATTACAATGCTGTGCATGGAAAGACTTAACGAAAAACAAAACAGCCCCGTGATGTGATCCAACGCCGTATGCAAACAAAACACAACCTAGTACCACAAGTACGTATGACAATGGCAGAGTCTGCAAGAGCCCACAGCTGACAACTCCCAGTCCCTAACAGACAGGAGTTTAATTTTCTGGGGAGCATAACCAGAAGAAAGCATATGACTGGCAAACACAAAGGGTAGGAAGAACGGTTGTTCCTGTAGCCCTACACTATTGAGAGACAGGTTGCATGGAGAACTTACGAGAGTTCAAGTTCGGATAGGAAAACCAATACTCTTGCATGGATATTAAAAGATACAGCGTTTTTATGAGAGTTTTTTTGGTGTGTTTTTTAGGAAGGAGGAAGCCTAGCTGCGTAAGCTATCCAGTTCCACAAGGGCATAAGGATTAGTGTCCAGTGAAGCCAAGGCAGGTCACAATCAGAGGGCAGACAAGAGCAGAACCTTGGACAGTTCCAAGGGTTCTCTGCTGGCTGAAACGTTCTCTTTCTAAGGCAGCTACATGAAGATGTTGTCTCTGCAAGGAGTTATGGAAGTTGGCAAGGAGCGAGGTAGGATCTGCCTCTCAGGGAAATCTGGTTGAGTGGTTAAAGGGATCCCAGAAACATGCAGGGAAAATCATATTAGGAGGCATCTGGTAGTTCATAGGAACATAGGAAACTGCCTTGTGCTTAGTCAGACCATTGGTCCATCTAGGTAATATTGTCCTTGCTGACTGGCACCAGCTTTCCAGGGTTTCGGACAGGAGACATTCCCACTCCCACTCCCATGGGACCTTCATCATGCCAAGCAGATGCTCTACCACTGAAGTATGGAGCCTTGTTGAAAGTTCGGTAGGAAAGAGAACTGGAAGGGGAAACGGGAAGATTGTTCAAGTGAAGAAACATTGAGATCAGCAGCGATTCGGGTGACCACTGTGGCTTGACTTTTCTGTTCACCCAGTGACCAAGCCCCAGCCATCTTCAAATATCACATGTATAAAGCTTGTTTTACAATGCTCTAGAGCAGTGGTTTTCAACCAGTGTGCTGTGGCACCCTGCAGTGTCTTGAATGATAGTCAAGGGTGCCACGGGCAATACTGGCCGCTGTCCTCCTTTCCTTCCCTCCCACCTGTTTTGCGGGGGGGGGGGATATGTCCCACTTTATTTTGATTATACACCAAGTAACCAGTTACAGTCATACCTCGGGTTGAATGTGCTTCGGGTTGAGCGCATTCGAGTTGCGCTCTGCTGCAACCCAGAAGTAACAGAGTGCATTACTTCCTGGTTTTGACGCTTGCGCATGCGCAGACACTCAAAATGACGCGCAAAATGATGCGCAGAAGTGGCGAAAAGCGACGCGCGCAGACATGCTGTCACTAGTTACGTTTGCTTCTAGATACGAACGGGGCTTCGGAACGGATCCCATTCGTATCCAGAGGTACCACTGTACATATTTTCTGATTGGATATGAAAGATGATTTTGAGAAGAAGAAACACGCATCTTTATACATAATATTAATTGAAATGACAAAGTTAAATTCGAATATTATAAATTCCCACAGCAGGTCTCTCTGGTACATTTCTGTGACAGAAAAATAAATAAAAGCAAACTGGAATTGTCCTATAACTGTTGCATACAAGTAAAGTATTGTATATGATTGTTTTAAAAAGCTTTCTGGGTTTTGTGCCCCCCCCCCAAGAATCTTTGGACCCTCCTGCACTGCAGGCCTTGGCTTTCAGCCTGAATAATGTAATACATGCCCCTTATCGCTTTGTGGCATTTTAAATAAGTACATTACCTAAGCAAATGGCTCTTACGGTAATCCAGATGAAACGTGACCGTGGGTGAATTACAACCAGCAAGTGAACAGAAATTTGGCATTCTAACTAAGCAGCTGCCAAGCTGTGTTCTCTCTCACACACTTAAAAGGAAGAACAAGTGCAAATACACAGGCTTTAGTGCCTGAGATATGGCAGAGCACTTTGGAATGATTAAACACAGGGTGAATGACAGTTCGAAAAACAAGGGGGTGGTTTCCTTCGTTCTGTGAAACAAATCATTCGACTTAAAAAAAATGCAGATGGAAAAGATCAAGAAATGCCTAGGAGCAGTGACAGGTTTATAAGCACTCTCTGCACCGAGCACTAAAATGACTGCCTCTTTAAGGAGGTCTCCTCACTTGGCTTAATAGTTACATGTCTTTGGCTTGCTGTTTGTAGCATTGAATTTTAGATAATGAAAATTCAACGAGATCTATATTGGGCAATCAGCCAATCTAAGTGCTTTTCTAAGTAATTGCTGATTATTTTAGTCTGTTAAAATTAAAGTATTTCAAAATGGGTGATATTGTGAGGATATTTTATGAGGGTACTGGTTGGTTTCTCCCTCCTCCGTTCCCCGTTCCCCCCCCCCCGGCAGCTAGGTAGTAAAGACTGTTAGTGGTTTGGGAAATTATTTGCAACAGATTCAATAAAATCCATGGTTTTAAAAATGTGTAAAATCATGATTTTTCATTGGTGAACCAATCACACTGGTTAATGTGTGTTTTAATCCCAGAGATGATTCAATGTGTTTTTTGGAACATGATGCTGAAGATGTCTAAATGGTGACTGTGTGAGAGTAAAGATATGGCAATAAGCAAACTAATTCACAACCCCCCACTTTTAATTGTACTCTGAAACCTACTGCTTGAAGTGGGCAACCTCTCCTTCCTCATATACAAGGGTAAACTTTAGAACTGCATACACATTTCCGAACCCTCACATGCTCACTGAATGTATGGAGGGGGAAGCGGGCCACACATATTACATCTCCACATTTTAGTGTCCATGTAAAAGGGACCTACTACATACATGCATACACGTGCAATTGGAGGAGCCCAACACACAACTACTTGTGTAGAACCCTTTCAGTCTAATGCTAAATGCACAGGTGTTGGAGATGGGGTCATATGGCTTCTTGCTGCTTTCCCACACATTTTTCTTTTTTATTTGTGTGTGTGTGTGTGTGTGTGTGTGTACACGCACAAGCTTAGCCCTCCTTTGAACCTTTGACGCTTTCTCTCTTGTCAGTGGAGAAGCTGACAGATATTAGCAGGACACAAATATATTCTTCTTTTCTCATCTCATTGTCCATCTCCTATCCCTGGCTTAAAGAAAGGTGTATGCAGTCAATGTTCATTGCATTTTATGCTTGGATAATCTAAATCCCCTTCAAAGGCACGTTTTATTTTTAACATTCAGTAGAAGAATTTTAGCTGTGCAGGTTTCCAATAATTTATGAGGATATGAGTTGCACGTAACCTGAAACAGAGTCTGCATCACAAAATATGTCTGTGCTATGCAAGGTTGGAAATGACAGGGAGCAGAACGATCCTTCTGGCTAGGTGATCTCTCCGGAGTAGTCAGAATACCAAGGACACCTTCAATAAAGATGCCTGTTTCAGTTCATACATGCTCATAGGTGCACTTTAATTATAAATGCAGGGTGCCTGCAAATCAGAATTCACATCGATTGCATCAGTCTTGAGGAAGGTGACTTAGAAATTTAACAGTCATTTAATAAAGAATAAAGAGTGTGTGGTGTGGCTAAGGGCCCATTCATACAAGCATCTGAGGTGATACGATTATATGATAAACTTGCCTTTGATTAAGGAGTATTGCATATGACAAGGCTTGCTTTCATTCAGCACCTGACAGACAGGGAAGTATGTTGTCCTTTATCAATCTGGCTTCTAATGCAGGGTGAGAGTATGTTAACCTTTTCCCATGTCCAATTCTTTGTCGAATATGATGTCTCTTGCTTGAATAATTCAGTTGTTGCATATGTGGGAGGAATGGCACTCCAGCTAGTTGAACATGCAAATAAAACCAAGTGTGCTACTGCTTTCCTATTCATTCCTGCATCGTTTTATTGTTCCTTGGGTTGCAAATGGTGACTTTTGTATTTCTTTCTAGGTATAAAACAAATTTTAAATGTTTTAATAAAGCAAAACGAAGAGTCTCATTATGTAGCACCTTACGTTTTAAAAAAATTAATCATAGTGTCATTTGTTAACAGGGACAGGAGTGATTTATATTGTTCCAACTTGGACTCCGTGCTTTCATATATTCTGTGCTGTGTACGGAGGCTGAACAGGGTTGCCATTTCAAGAAAAGAATTCAGGTTGGCAATTACCTACCTAGGAAAGAGAGTGGGATGGTTAGTGCAGTATGCCTCTTTGAAGAAAAAGATGTGATGTGTGTGAGATGATTGAGAAGAAGAGGTGGAGGAGTTTGGATTTGATATCCCGCTTTATCACTACCTGAAGGAGTCT